TCATTCCCACCGCCTGGAGACCCCATCCTGGCGGAGGAAGATCATGACCGCGCATAGCAATAGCCATTTCTAGAACATTACGCCATCTACCACGGGAGTATATCAAGTGTCTCTGCACGTCCTGAGGATGCGCGCTGTCAATGAGAGTCAGAGCTGCCAACAACAGCTCTGAGCTACCACAAGCATCAGTATCCTGTTCTATCATAATGTCAGCTTCGATATGTTCTTGGCTCTCAGGATAACCAGTAATAAGTATCTCATGCATCCTCATGAGGGTCTGCAAAAGAGTGCGTGGTCCATATTCGCCTGGAGCAAGCGAACCAGGAGGTACGAACGGAGTATCTGGTTCGCCTGCAATGAAGGCCTGAACAAATGCCTGAGACTCCATTTCAATTAAGTCTTCAGTGGTCTGGGGATATTCCCCCATCAAAGACGGCCTGTTTCCAGGCGAGATTTCGGGCGGAGGTTCGAGGTTTCGTTGAACCTCGGAAGGCGAAGCCTCTATAGTGGCGTCCTCGTCGTCGCTCTCGTAGGCCATGATGTTGCCTGGGTTCCCGAACATCCAGTCGAAGAAAGAAAGAGGCTGGTTTCCCAGCGTACCGTGGTCCACGGGAGTGAGCTCGTTATTGCCCATAACGAACCGGCGGACGCACTCGAGGTAGTACGCGTACAATCCATGACCATACGCCTTGAGCTCGTCGACGTTGTCCATGCCAACAACCCAAGTGAAAAATATCTGCTCCATAGCCTCAAAGTCCTGGAGGCTCAGATACTCAATGGATGGTTCACTTGAGCCAAAATGGACTTCGGTCGACCTGCCCTTTCCATTTCCCTTCACTGGACAATCTCGCACAAGATGATCGGAACTACCACATTCATGGCATTTAAGAACCTGGCCGTCTCTACCTCGCGGGTTTCCCCGCCTACCTTTGCCTTTTCCTGAGGTCTCTCTACGGCCTTTACCACGGCCTTTTCCCCCAAAGAATATCTCATCATGTTGTTCATCTGAGAGCCTCTGGAGAAATGCCGCGATGCCTCGTCCGTTCAACCTCCGACGACCTCGCTTGCCTTTACCCTTTCCTTTAAAACTTCTACGTATCCTCCTTCTAACACGACGCACTGGTTTTCGTGTGAACCTCCTCCACCTTCGTTTAGCCTGTTGTAATAACCAGAACAAATGTTCAGCACGCTGATTGTCGTTATCCATATTCATAATATCTGACCAATCTAAAGCTTCAACACCATCTGATGATATAGTGTCTGTATCGGTGCCGGAGTCGAAATCCTCGTCTCCCAAGTAGGTGGATACACCGTCGGTTAGGGGGTTTGATTCCCCCCATAAAGAACGGTGTGGTTGTGGTTCTCTAGAAGGAGGGCTGGTTGCCCAGCTTGGTTGTGATCGATCCCCTGCTAATAACGCAGTGGATTCACCTGGGTCATCGGCCCATATGCTTGAGGGCCCGTTTCCAGGCTGGGCTTCAGTAGTCAAGGTAGTGTAGAAATTTCCACTACCAGATCCCCTTCCCCTTCCAAACACAGATCCTATGTTACCAGGAGACCGTTCGGATAGGTGGCCTATCGAACGCATCCTCTCCAGCAACTCATCATACTGTTGTTGTGTTCGGGGCATTTGGTGATTGAGTGGCTGTAAGAGTTGCATGGCTCGCTGGTTGCCGACGCCTAAGGCGCGGAATAGGATAGTGGTTAGCAGTTGGAAGTTGGGAAGGTCGAATCCCACCGACTGTGCCTCAAGTCGGGCCATTTCGAATCGGGTAAGGGTGACATCGATTCGTTCCCCGTGAGGCACGTGGAAGTCGATGAGTTGTGTGCCGGAAGTGAGCTGTCGCTCATCTTCCAGGCGTTCGAACTTCATGCTTAGGAGGAACATGATGTAGGTCACTGGGTCTGTGTGGACCCCATCGATGTCAGCACCATAGTTTATAATGTCAGGCGGTACCCTCATGGCGAGTGTCCTCGCTAGGCCACCTAGGCCGCGTTGTATTGCGGCCGCTTGGGCCTGTGGCGTCATACGTCCGCTTGTAACGTTGAGCCATGCGTTGACCTCGTAGATGTACTCACGAAAAGGTACATTACCTTGAGGGTCCCAATATGGGCCATGTGTTTGCCCATCGGTGCTGTTTTCTCCACGACGCATGTGTCCGATTGCTGCCCCCAGCGCGAACCATATAATAGCGAAAACGACTAGCCCGAGAATGTGTAAAGAAGGACGGTTATGATGCGCGTTGTCGCGCTGGGGTAGCGCCTTGTCGAGTCTTCGAGGCGCTCTGTCTGGCGGGTCTCCCCGCCCCTGCTTCAAGTATTGCGCTGTTAGCTCGTTGCCGAGCGGTTGGTGGTAACGCAATGATGAAGCGTATATGGTACCAGTCTAGACGTCGTACCTCTCGTGTTGCTTCTTGCTCTTGGATAGATCCTCGTAAACGTACTGGGAGTGGTGGCGCAGGGTGGTAGGTGGTCACGAAGATCGTGCCGAAGAATATGAGGCTAAGAAGAGCAAGAGCTGACCACACGAGAGTGCGGCCAGCTCCGCTACCAAGTCGAAAGTGAGCCTGGTAGCTCAAATATGGCATATAGCCTGGCAAATTGCGTCCATCGCTCTGCTGTGAAGGTACAGTATGAGGGGTGGACGGATAAGATAGGATAAGATCGATGTAATGATCTTTCCAGCACATAGCGAACACTCGCGGTGTCCGGGCAAATAGGGCGCGCGTGCCTTGGGCCAAAGGCAACGGCGCGCGCGAGCTATGCTCCCGATACTATAGCATCTCCCAAAGACCTACCCTTAAAGTCGGCGGCCCCAGATGCAGCCAAGAAGGCCTACCAGGGCCCCACGCGGCTCCCAAGAGGCCTCCAATAGGTCCCCCAGGAAGGCCCAGCGAGGGCAAACTCCTTGACGTCCCTTGGGCGCGTTTCAAAGATTTGGCGTTTGCTTCAGATCGGCTTTCCGACGGCCCGAAAGCCCCCCAAGATTGCCCCAAGATCGCCCAACAGGCCTCCAAGATGGCCCCAGGATGGCCAAGGTGGCTCCCAAGACGGCGCCCGACGGACCCCAAGGCGGCCCAAGAGGCCTCCAAGACGCCCAATACGGCCTTCACGGCGACCCTGACGCACCCCAAGAGGGCCCCAAGATAGCCCAGAGACTGTCCCAAGGCGGCATCTGACAGCGTCAGACGGCCAGGAACGCCGTCAGACGGCCAAAGAGGCCCAACAAAACTACCCAAAGGCTCCAACGAGGCCGAAGGAGGCCCCCAAGAGGCCTCGTAGAGGCCCCCAAGAAGCTCCCAAGAGTCGCAAGAGCGCCAAAGAGGCTCCCGAGAGGTCTCCTCCTCCTCCTCCTCCTCCTCCGCCTCATCATCATCATCATCATCATCATCATCATCATCATCATCATCATCAGCAGCAGCAGCAGCAGCAGCAGCAGCAGCATTATCATCATCATCATTATCATCATCATCGTCATCATCATCATCAGCAGCAGCATCATCACCACCACCATCATCATCATCAGAATCATCATCATCATCATCACCACCATCATCATCATCAACATCATCATCGTCATCGTCATCGTCATCGTCATAATCATCATCATCATCATCAGCATCATCAGCATCATCATCATCATCAGCAGCATCAGCATCATAATCAGCATCATCATCAGCATCAGCATCAGCATCAGCATCAGCAGCATCATCATCAGCAGCATCATCATCAACGTCACACTCTTCATCAGCAGCAGCATCATCATCGTCATCATCATCATCAGCAGCATCATCATCACAATCATCACCCTCCTTTCCCCTCGCTCTATTCATCCTCCTCTTCCTCCCCCACGTGTTCCCAGAAGGGCATCCACAACGGCCAGGGAAACACATGGTCCAATAGCGTGGCCAAGCTTTGCCCAAACGTTTGGCCACACAGGTGTATCCGATACTGTCGGACCTGCGCAGGCCAGAAGAACAACCTTTCAAGGACACGAGACCCGCCGCTGGCCAAAACACCCCAAACCATAAGATCACTCGAGGAGACCCCCCCAGGATGCACAATAACGTCCAACAGACACGAAGAACACCAGGGTACCCTCCCCGGAACGTCCTGGATCCTAGACGCTGGTCCGACTGCATCCAACATCCAATAACCACGAAGAACAGTAGGGTAACCTCCCCGAGATGATCTCGATCTTACACCTCGGTCCGACTGTAAGGCAGAGGGCGGCGGTGATTCGCCGCAGGCGCCTCGGACAAAAAACTGCTCGGCGCACACGGCGCTCGATGGCGGCGAGGGCGGGGGACGCATGCAGACAGAGCGGAGCGGAGCAGCCACGTTGTCCTGTCCTCCTCGCCCCTCCTCGTCCCGTCTCCTCCCTCCTCCTCCTCCTCCTCCTCCTCCTCCTCCTCCTCCTCCTCCTCCTCGTGCCTCCTCGTGCCTACTCCACAACTAAACACTGTGAACGCTACTCTCCTCTCTCTCTCTCTTTCTCTGCCGACCCTGTGAAGAAAAGCTCCAGCCCTCTCCGCGTACTGCTCTCTGGTCTTTAATAGACCAGTTCGTGCTGCTGCTGCTGTTCATCCTCGTCCTCCTCCTTCATCATTCTCCTCGTCCTCCTGCTCATCCTCCCGCCCGACCGCCTTCTCCTCCTCTCCTCCTCCTCCTCCTCCTCCTCGTCCTCGTCCTCGTCCTCCTCCTCCTCCTCCTCCTCCTCCTCCTCCTCCTCCTCCCCCGATGTACTCAGTTCCACAATTCCGATTGCGCATCTCACCGTGGGGCTTTTGATGTCGGAGTTCCAGGTCAGCTATGACGTGCGTCCGCGGATAGACAAACATCTGCGCAGTGGGAATGGCTGGCAGGAAGGGACAGGATGTCGGAAATGGCGCGAGCGCGCCTCGCTTGTCCCCCCCCCCCCTCCTCCCTCCCTCCCTCCCCTGAGCCTATCTCCCCTGCACTTGCCCCGGAGCCCCCCTCCTGCAGAAGAAGGGCACGGCTCCTCCAGGCCCCGGTCGCGGGAGCGCCCGCTGGAGACGTGGCCCCAAGTGTGGCGCGGCAGCTCGTAGGTCAGCCGGCGGCGCGCCTGCGGGCCTCGCCTCCGCCGCCTTCGCCGCCGCTGGGCACACAAGGGGCGTGTCCTGGAACAGAACAGTCCTGGAGTTGGTTCGCCGCTGTCGGTCGGGGTGCCTCAAAAACGGTGCGGTGACGGACCGCGCCGTGACGTCGACATGCCGAACGGTCCGTCACCGCACGCTCCGTCCCCGCGCTGTGCTGGGCCCATCGGAGGCCCCGGTCGCCCGAGACACCCTCGGAGCATTGCTGAAGTTCCAAAAATCCAAGGATCACCCGAATCTCCACTGACTCGGCTACACGCAACAGTGACCCTGGGTAAGAGTGACCTTTGGTGCGCGGCTTTCTGGGGGCCGCGGGGGGGCCAAACATGAGCGCGCAAGACGCTACAACCGCATGGCGTTCGGCGATCGGGGGACCCCAGTGGGCCCGCTCCAAAGGTCACTCTGGCGAAGGGTAACTCTTACATGTAGTCGACTAACTCATCATGGAGTGTGGTCACCGCACCCGCCTGGGAGCCTCCAAAATCAGGCTGAAGGCGCCCCTCACGGGCGAACCCTGGACCGTCAACACAAACAACACAGGATGAAGAGCTGGTCGCCTTCGCCGTCGCCGTCGCCGTCGTCGTCGTTGTCGTCGTTGTCGTCGTCGCCGTCGCCGTCGCCGTCTTCGTCTTCGTCGTCTTCGTCTTCGTTGCCATCGTGGTCGCTGCCGCCGCCGTCGTCGCCCCCGCCGTCGTCGCCGCCGTCGTCATCGTCGTCGTCGTTACTGTCGTCGTGGTCGTCGTTACCGTCGTCGTCGTTACCGTCGTTGTCGTCGTCGTCGTCGCCGTCGTGGTCATTTCGTCGTCGTCGTTTCGTCGTCACCGTCGTCGTGACCGTTCGTCGTCGTCGTCGTCGTCGCCGTCGCCGTCGCCGTCATTTCGTCGTCGTCGTTTCGTCGCCACCACCGTCGGTCGTCGTCGACGCCGTCGGTCGTCGCCGACGCCGTCTGTCGTCGTCGCCCGTCTGCGTCGACCGAGTCGCGCGGCCGCCGCGACCACAGCGGGGAGAGAAGGAGCCCTCGGGCGAAGCGCTCGGCGCTCTCGGCGGGTGTGCCCGGCGCCCGCGGGAGCCTGCGCGTCGGCGGGCCACCCCGGAGGCAGGCGCTGGGCGCGCCCCCAAAGAGAGCGCGGCGATGCTGATTTTTCGTCGCCGCCGCGCTTGCTCCTCCTTCCCTTCCTGCACCCCCTCCTCTTCTTCCTCCTCCTCTTCTTCCTCCTCCTCTTCTGCCTCCTCCTCCTCCTCTTCTTCCTCCTCCTCCTTCTCCTCCTTCTCCTCCTCCTTCTCCTCCTCCTCCTTCTCCTTCTACTCCTCCTTCTTCCTCCTCCTCCTGTCGCCTGGGTCAAGGGCCGCGGTCCGCAGGCTTCTGGGGCAGAATCCCGTCTCCGAATGAGCGTCTCGGTGGCTTTGCTCTCGGCGGGCCATCCGCGCCCCGCGCGCCCGCGCCTCCGACTCGCCAAGGGGCCTTGGCGAGGCCCGCGCGGGACAAAAGGCCGAGGCTCCTGTTTTGCCACGGAGCCGCCAACGAAGAGGCGGAAGAGGACGAGGAGTGGAGGGGGGAGGCGTGTCACGAATTTGGGCCCCTCACTACGGACAGCTGCTGCCCTGGCCGCGTGGCCGAGAGTCGGACCACCGATGATGGCTACCTGTGGGCACAGATGGATGGAGAGGATGCGGCGGCAGGAGGGGACGACGGGGGAGGCGTGGGAGCAGGATGCGGTAGGGAAATTCCACTCTGGAGGCAGAAGAGGCGTGCTTCTCTGTCCATGCTCCGCAATCCAGGTCAGCCCGAGGGCTGGAACACTACAGAATACGCGACACCTGGAGCCCGACCAAGATGCCAGGGTACCCGTGGACCGAGGAGGCAGAAGGTTAGGAGGCAACTACTGGGAGGTTTTCGTCGGAGAGATTAAAAAGGATTAAGCCCCATTGGGGGGCTGTTACGCCGGAGTGGGCCTCGGATTAAGCCGGATTAAGCGGGGATAAACCAGATTAAGCGGGATTAAGCGGGATTCAGCTGGATTTCGGACCAGGGCAAAATCAGAATTTGACCTCCCAGGAGTTGCATCCGAAAGAAGGCGAGCAGGTGCCGCCCCAGAACCGAGGGATTGCAGGGGTGCCTGGCCTCAGAGGCCCACCCTCCAGGGCAGGCTCAGGCCCTGTTCCCCCCCCCTGCTGCCGACAAGCGGGCTCGGCCGAGGGGGCACCCCCGGAGCCGCCACCACAAGGAACGCGGACCAGGGAACGAAGCCCCCTCTCTGGCCACCAAAAGCTCCTGGGCGCACGAGGAGGAACGAGCACCCCTTCCGCACCCAAACTGCTCTCTACTTCGTTCTCTGCTTGAACAGGGACCGACTGTCCGGGCATTCCTATAGTCCTACCACGAAACGTTCTTAGAACCCCAAGTGTTCTAAGAACAAAAACGAGGTTCTTATAACATAAGCCCGATATGGCAACAACAAGATAGACTCCGGCAGAAATGTTCTAAGAACATTTCCTGGAAACCGCCAAAGGCTCTTAGAACATTGTTTGGTAGGTCTATAGGCGAGCCAGGACGCTTCGCCACTGCTCGACCTGCACTGCTGAGGATCCAGCGCCTGCCGCCCACGAGAGGGGCGGCTGGGCCTCCTCGAGTAGCCCGTCGAGGGTGCCCTCGGGTATCATCCGCCTGGCCACCGTCGCCGCGTAGTCCTCCGTGTACCTCTCGAGCCGCGCCACGCGTCCCTCTGCCGAGCGTCGTCGTCGTCGATGTCGTCCTAGTCCTCGTCGTCGTCGTCCTCCTCGTCGTCGTCGTCGTCATCTTCGTCGTCTTCGTCGCCGCCAATTCTAACAGTGTCGTCGTCGTCGCCGCCGCTGTCGTCGTCGCTGCCGCCGCCGTCGTCGATGCCGTCTTCGGCGTTGGCGTCGGCGTCGTCAACGTCAACATCGTCTTCGTCGCCTTCGTCGTCGTCGCCGCCGCCGCCGCGGCCGTCGAGGTCGGCGCCGTCGTCGTCAAGGTCGTCGTCGTCGTCGTCGTCGTCGCCCCCCTCACCGCTGCCGCCGAGGAGGGAGAGAGGAGGGGCGCGGATCGTCCTCGATCGATCCTCGATCGATCCGTGAAGGTCGAGGATGGAAGACTGTTTTTTAGCCGCTGATCCCTTGCGGAACCTCCGGAAGCCTCCGAGGGCCTGCAGGAGATCTCGGGACCTCTGGGGACCTCCCGAGATCTGTGGGCCTCACCCGCCGAGAGCAGAGGCGGTGGTGGTGGAGGGCGAGGAGGAGGAGGAGAATGATCGAGGAGGGGGAGGAGGAGGAGGAGATCTGTGGTGATGGAGGGCGTCCAGGATCGAGGATCCAGAGCTTCGGACGGCGTGGGACACCTGCTGGGGTGGCCCCCTCTCACGGGCACCCTCCTGCTGTGCCACACCGCCCTTCTACCTCATTTCTGTGCCTGCACTCTGTGCAGCTGGCCTCGGCAGCGTGACATCATGGAATCCGAGTTGTAGCCTCTTGGAGTAAAGGGGTCCTGGGACACGCCAAAAAATACGTACACACAAATCCAGGATTCCCCATATGTTCCCATATTTCCTTGGTTTTCGTCTTCGCTCCCACTTCCCATATTTTCCCAAATTTCCAAAGGGATCGACGATCAACTGAGTCTGTGTGTTTGTTCTCCTCCTGAGAGTTGCAGCCTCTTAGATGGGATTACGGATGAAGCGAATTGAGGTATGATTGGGCGTGGATGATGAAAGACGGTGTGCGAATCAGACCCGAGCCATGTCCACCGGAACATCCGTATCGGGAGCAGGCTGGAGAGAGAGGCAATTCCGCCACGGAATGAACAAGGAACACGGGAGATGGGGAAAGATCGAGACACAAGGGAAAATAGAGCGATGGGGGGAGAGAGAGATAGAGAGAGAGAGAGAGAGAAACAATCACCGCGTGAGAACGAGTAGACACATCAACCGCAGGTAGGAGGACGAGAAACGAGGGACGGGGGGGATAGAGACAAACAGGCCTGGGAGAGCTCCGGAGACAGGGAGAGAGAGAGAGAGAGAGGCAGGGCTACAAGTATACCTTCGTATACTCATATGTACACTTGGGTTCTAGAAACCCCGAACACCAAAAAACAAATTTCTCGGGGGCGCCTCTATTGCTGTCGCCGGCGTCCGCGGCATTCCGCCAGCAGAGCCACCCCCGTTATACTTCCGCCACCTTCCGACTGCCTCCAGCCGAGGAGGAGAGGCCAACTCCTGCGATCCTTGAAGGCGAAGCCCTTGCTGGAGCGCCGCATATCGAAAGCGAGCATGGCTAGATAATGAACAAGAACGAGCGAGAGAGAGGGAGGGAGAAATAATAACGATAAGAGAAAGGACAACAAGACAGCGGATGGAAGCGAGCGAAGAAAGACGGAGGGTTGGAGCATAAGAGACAAGAAAGAAAAATAAAGAGACATGAAGAGGGAAGGTGTAAACCGCAACGAATGAGCGATCGAATGCAGATGCGGAGACAAAGGCAAATAGAAGAGGAAACGGGACGACATGGCAGGATTCGGAAGAGGAAGAGGGAGAGGTATTTGGAGATGCGGGAATGGAAATGGCAATATACTAACAATACAAGAACCAGCGTCCACATCCACATCGACACTGCGAGCAGGCACACCGTTCAAAGCTCTGTGTTCAACTTGACGTGTCACCAACGACCCTTCGACAAATAACATCGTCCTGGATCGGCATGGCTCGGACATTCCGCCGAAGGCCGACGACGCAATGCCATGGTATACGCACGAGCATAGCACGTGGCAGATAATGTCAGGGGAGTGCGGAGGGGCTGCTGAGAACCATCCCACCTGGCAGTGACGTGCTCGATGTCCCAGGGAGTGAAGGCGAAGATCATGGTGAGCTTCTTCCCCCACCCCTTCTCGTACATGAGGGGCCTCTGGTGGGGCCCTTTCTTGATACGCAGAGCTCGAGGTCTGCACCGGGGAGCATGCAATACTTGGTTGCGAAGCGTAGGGACAAGCTCCCTGCAGCCACCGCTGAGCGCAAACGAAACGGAGTTCCTCCTCGTGACCAAACTGCGCCCACTCGCCTCCCACTCGACTTCCGCCTCTTCCTCCCCCGCCCCCCTCTTCCCCGTGCCCTCCTATCTATCACCCCCTGGATTCAAAAAAAGGAGCGATCGGCACTTTACGCGGGAACCACCCCATGGCGGTTCGGTAGTCGATCGCGGACCGAAAATGTACCGTTGCGGAAATGTCCAGCAAAATCGTCACTTTCTGTCGGTATGAGATGGGACACGAAGCGTGGCCTTGAGGAAAACGCAAACACGACATTGGCAGTTCTGGGCAGCGCGAATGGGGCCAGAAACTTGCATGTCACGAAATACCAAACAAAACCAAAGCTGTCTGGCAGCATGGAGAGAAACTTGACTGTTTGTGTGATGCGGTCGCGAGCAAGATCGCAACTTTGCAATCGGATAACACACATTCAGGTAGTCCTGGAGGGTGACCAGAATGTGTCTTAGGAAGCCACATACAGAATGCCCATGCTTGGTCCGGGGCCCATGTGGCCGTTAGAATATTGGAGGGAAGGATTCACCAGAAACTCCGGCATCGGCTTCAAAACCAACATTGCACTTGCACAACGCGGCCTGACAGGAAGCACACCGTGCTACAGATGTATGTTACGGATCTTGTGAAGCGCACCGCTGTCCAGAAGAGACCAGCCATCAACGTGCCCGTGATGAAACAATGCATAGCTTGTCCCTCCTGCTGCGTTATGCAGCGGCACCAATGTATGCTGACGCACGTGTGGCTCCACCCAGTTACCAGGGCTGGCTTCGTTTACACCCTCCCAGTCGCGCTGTTCGTTGCCCGAGGTTGTTTCAGGAGTGCTCGAGAAAGGAAGCTGCTCTTGGGCAGCCCTGCTAGCAGCCACCCAAACCAGCCATCGAAAGCAGCCTCAAAACCATGACTCTACCACCTAGGTCAGCCACGTAAACGACCCACTTAACCAGTCACCTCAGCCAGACACCGAACACCCCAAGGAATAGCTACCAGAACAAGCCTGCAAAACCAATCACATCCAGAACCCAAGCCAGCAACATATACCAGCCACCTGCCTTGAAATGAGCAGACTCGGCGCAATTGGAAAGGGGGTAGGATTGCATACGCTGTGGCGCGAGCGTACGTAGTTTGCTTCTCTCCTCTCCAGCTCTTCCTCCTCCACCTTCTCCTCTGCTTGCGGTGAGGGCATTGGGCATTGGATAATGGACATCTTACTCCGCCTCCTGCGGCTGTTGCTCTCCCTCCTCTTCTTCTCTTCATCCTCTCTCATCCCCCCCTTCTCGCGAACCGCCCCGCGACCCAACCCCGACCCGCCCCACCACCCACTCAAGACCCGCCCCGCGACCAAACCTCGACCCGCCCCGCGAGCCACCCACATGGCCTCGACCACGAAATCTGCGCCTGCGGCGGGCTCCTTGTGTGGGTGCCGCGGGAAGCAGGGGGACCAACGCGCTGTCGGCCTCGGGAGGCTGCTTCACAAACCTGGGACCGTCAGAAACACACCGCGACCCGGGAACGCCAGCCCCGGGAAAGCCCGCCCCGGGGAACGAGTCGAGACCATGAAGGCCCACGCCACAGAAGAAGTGCAACGCCGGAGGAGGTGGGCCCGCCACAGTCGGCGAGACGTCGGATTAAGTCGGGCGTGTCCCCCTACAGGGGGATTTCGGGCGAAAACTAAAAAATACTCAAAACATACCCCCAAAATATTCAAACATAGACACACAAAAAAGTCCCCAGACTATTTGTTTGACTATTTCCCAACCAACTTGTGTTGTTGGGTCCTCGTTTTGAAGAGACAGCGCCCCGTGTCACCTCCTCCCGCTGCCCCCTCCCCCCTCCTCTTCCCTCCCTGCGTTTCACCCACCAAGTACAGCGCTTCGTGGCCCCATAGGAGCTCCACCGAAGGCGCCAGTGGCAGGGTTCGCATGGCGGCCTCGGGCCATTTCGGCACACCCCTCACGAGGATCGTGGCCCCATAGGGAGCTCCACTGAAGGCGCCAGTGGCAGGGTTCGCATGGCGGCCACGGGCCATTTCGGCACACCCCTCACGAGGATCGTGGCCCCATAGGGAGCTCCACCGAAGGCGCCAGTGGCAGGGTTCGCATGGCGGCCTCGGGCCATTTCGGCACACCCCTCACGAGGATCGCGGCCCCATAGGAGCTCCACCGAAGGCGCCAGTAGCAGGGTTCGCATGGCGGCCTCGGGCCATTTCGGCACACCCCTCGGCGCCAGCCTGACATCGGCGCGCACGTCGCGTATCATTCGATCCTGGACGAGTTCGGGCATATTGTATTCCAGTGTGGAAAGATGTGGTATGCTCTGGTTTGCTATGCAACCTTCAGTCCTGCTATGCTGTGTCATGTTCAAACCTCTTCCCCGATGGCATGCTGGACAGATGAGCAATTTATTATCCCAGTGCGACCCTACCTTGGAGTTGGAGCCCCTAGGAAAGCAGCATTAGTTGTAACGGTGAAGCTAAGCTAAAGCTAAGCTACAGCTAAGCTAAAGCTAAGCTAAGGCTAAGCTAAGGCTAAGCTAAAGCTAAGCTAAAGCTAAGCTAAAGCTGAGCTAAAGCTAAGCTAAAGCTAAGCTAAAGCTAAGCTAAAACTAAGCTAAGCTAAAGCTAAGCTAAAGCTAAGCTAAAGCTAAAGCTAAAGCTGAAGCTAAAGCTAAAGCTAAAGCTAGGGGGCGCAACTGGGGGAACCGCGGGGCGGGGACTGGGGCAACCGCCCGGGGCGATTTACACTGCCCGGCCCCTTTAAGCTAAGAGAGTAAGAACCCTCTAGGCAGAGCCTAGGTAGGGAAAAATGTACGAATACTTGATGTGTGCTATTAAATGTGATGTGCGTGTGTGGTCGGGCCGACTGCTCAGCAATCGGAACATACTAGTGCATGCGGTTATGCCATCGCACCGTGTGTGCATTCGTTATGCTACTGTGCTCTCAGTGTGAGACTCAGCTCTTAGTCTGGAACTGCACCCCGGTATTGTTCTGAGTTGCGTTCTTAGTAGCACCTTCCATGATACTGCGGTATACAACATGACTGATGCATTATCTCTTTGTTTGTTTGTGAACATAAAGTACTACTCAATACTACCGGCTGGTAGAATATATCCTTCCCTGTTCCGAACATATGATGAAATGGTTTAGTAGAGTAATGTCTCCTCTGTGCCGCTACATAATATGCGAACCTTGTGTTTGCGTTAAATCAGCTTGCGTTATCCGGTGGTAAGATCTGTCTAGTATCAATGATGATTGGCTCGGTCATATTATGTTCAAGTGCCTGTCACAGTAGTAACACTATTAGGGCACGTATGCTGTGCCACTTGGTTGTATGGTATAGCATGTCATGCGCCGCTCTGCTTATGTACGAGGTGGTACGGCATGGTATGGTGCGATATGTTCTGTGATGCAATGCTATCACAATAGTTGCTATGTCATGGACGTTACGCGATAGCACGCGACATTAGCTTATGATGGGTTGAAACAAAATGGGGTAGTTTATGGATTGTATATGTTAGGCGATGCGAACCGTAAGAAGATCTGTTGTAGGCGTATGATACATGTTATGCGCCGTCGTGGTGGTAGCAGTAGTGGGACACATATAGTTTGCCTTGTCATAGTATAATATGGTGCCCCACTCTGTCAGAACGGCCTTCGTTATCCTATGGCATGCTATGTCATGTGGTGGTGTGATAGGATCTGATTTGGTCTGCATTGTTATGCGATTGTATGCCCTGCTGCGCTCTGTGACACGTTATGCTCTGCTTAGTATAGCATGTCCTGTTGTGATATGCTCTGTTGTGCTCTGCTCTGTCAAAGTGTGTCGCTACGGTATGGTACATACGGTTTGCACCGTCACATGATGCTGGGTTCGGCGATGTTCGGTGATGCAAGCGTATGTTATGGTATGCTCCGTTATTTCCGCTGTTATATGTTATGTTATGCTCTGTTCACTTCTGTTCCTGAAAGCGCGGGATTCGGAATACTCGGGGGAGTCCCGGTGGAGCTGGGGATCTGGCGGCTGCGGTATGGCAGGATACCCCGGGAATCCGGGCGGACCTGGGAATATAGCGGCCGCGGTATGGCAAGATACCCAGGGAGAATCCCGGTAGACCTGGGGATGTGGCGACGCAGTATGCAGGGTGGGCGGGTCCGAAGGACTGCCTTTCAAATCTAACAACGCCACCTGCCGGGCGGGGCACACGGGTGGAGAGCTAGTCGCTTTCAAAAAAAGTACCTTTGTATACCTTTGGCACTGCGAACACGTCGCCGTGAAAGCATCCAGCAGCTACCGTTTCAACATGTGGCCCCTCGCTTCAGCACCATGCACAGTCGTCTAAGAAGCTTCCAACATTTAGGCTGGAGGGCTTGACATTCTCAAACTGAATATCTAGCCTCGGCGACGCGGAAAGAGGATGCACGGAGTAAGGTGGGTGATGGGAGGAGCAGGAGGAGGACGACGACGACGATCACGAGAAGGACGACGTCTACGACGGCGGCGACGACGACGACTGGGCGGCCTGTCCAGCACGCCCTCCGAGGGGTCCGCGTGGAGCCACACCGTCTCGTCCCCCCGCCGCAGCCCGACCTCGATCCAGACCTGCCGCCCCAGGCGGACGACGACCAGCGACGATCGGCGGACGACGATCGACGACGATCGACGACGATCGGCGACGACGACGACGACGCCGACCGACGACGCACGAGGAAAAACGGGACCTGCCGCCTAGGTGCGCCGACGCCTACGACGGCGACCGACGAACGACGACGATCTGGACCTGCGGCTCCGGTGCCGTCGACGACGACGACGACGACGACGACGACGACGACGACTACGATCGACGACGATCGACGACGACGACGACGATCGACGATGGACGATCGACGACGACGACGACTACGATCGAGGAAGATGACGATCGACGATCGACGATCCGACGCGGAGACACGGCGGCGACGACGAACGATCCACGATCGATGTCCGGGGATCGGGACTCGGGGACTGCGGTTCGACAACCGAGATGTGAAGATCGAAGCCCACCCGAAGGCCACGGGATTTGCGTGAGGAGGGCGTGCGCCCCAGACGTGGAGCCCCAGCCGAGACCACAGAGAGAGCAATGGGGCTCCGTCCAACGAGCGCAATCGAAGCTCGAGCCATGGCCCCGGACTCGGGCCATCCAGGAGCGGAGGCCACACGGCTAGAGGTAGCGGGGGATGCCTTCCGCCTCGGCCACGCTCGCAGGACAGCCCGAGTGCTGTCTTCTCGGCCACGCGCCCGGGACAAAATTTAACAAGATGTGGCGGGGAGAACATGGTGAAGGGGGGTGGCAGGGAGGAGGGGGCGTTAACAAAGTTGTCCCCCCTGTGTTCTTGACAACGCTTCTTGGCGGCGACGACGGCGACGGCGGCAACCGCGACCACGACCGCGAGCACGATCGAGGAGGAGGAGGAGGAGAAGGAGGAGGACGGGGGGGAGGGTGATGATGAGGAGGAGGAGAAGGGGAGGAGGAGGAGGAGGAGGGAGGAGGAGAAGGAGGGAGGAGGAGGAGGACTGCAGGGCTTCAGCAGGGGGTAGGGCAAAGCGGACTGGCCGAGCTTCCTACTCTTCACCCTCACTTCCTCATCATCCTTCTCCTCTTCTTTTTTCGTCTTGCAAGACCAGGGCTGGCGTTCGTCGACCGTCGATCAGTGGCAAACCAGGGCGGACTTTCAGGGTGAGACCTCCAAGAGCCCTTCATAACATATCCTTCTTGCAGGGGAAGCTGCTTCCAGCAGTGGGTTTTGGTAAACAGCAGCCATCCAACTAGGAACTCTGATGGTCACCGCATTCTTAAAGCCGCTGAAAAGCCTATTTCGTACTTGGCAGTCCTCCTGCTCCCCCCCCTCCTCCTCCACATCTCCCTCGCTACTCATCACTTCTCCCTGTCACTCCATCACCCCCCGAATTCCACATTCCATCCCCCCATTCCTCATCCCTCCCATCCTTCCTCCTCCCTCCTGCTCCTGCTCCTCTTCCTCCTCCTGCTCCTCCTACTTCTCCTCCTTCTCCTCCTCCTCGCCCTCATCATCTTCTTCATCAACATCATCATCAGCATCACAGACATCACCATCATCCTCATCAGAACCATCATCCTCCCACGAAGGGAAACATCCAGCCACTCCTCCTTCTCCTCCTCCTCCTCTTCGCTCCTCCTCCTCCTCCTTCTCCTCCTCCCTCCCCCTCCCCCTCCTCCTCCTCCTCCTCCTTCTCATCCTCCTCCTCCTCCCGCTTCGCCTTCCTCCGGTCCTCATCCTACTCCTCCTCATCCTACTCCTCCTCATCCCCCTGTCCTCATCCTACTCCTCCCCGCGGTCCCCGGACGTGGTCCGTGAAATCCAGCACATAGCGCGCCTCGTAACCCAGCGACGCGAACAGCGCGTGGCCTCGCGCGTACCGCGCAGCGCGAAGAGCATGCGCAGGGTTCCGACGACGACGGCTC